ATGTCTGCTTTTTCGATTAAAAAACTCTAAAGGTGGTACAACCACAAATAAACGACGTTCGTGTCCAATATGGTCACATGTTATCTATGATACTATCTGTATCTATACCTGGATGTAAACGATGACAGCAGAAAACCTACATGTTAACCTTGAGATGTTGATAATGTAAGTATGCTTGTCTTTAGACCTTGACTTAGTTGTTGTTGGACTGGTAGTCTTGTGGTTAAGCGCGTATTTTTACATTTTTAAAAATTGGTCGTATTCCATTTATGGGTAACATTTTGGAGAACCAAGTTGAGTTATTGTATATAGATTTAGAGGATGATTTGTACACCAATAATACGTTTTGAATTTCGTACAGAAACGCCAATTTCGCGCAAGCGTTTTTCATGATATGAGCACGTGAACGTGGTCGGGGTAAATATCGAAATTTTAAGTGAAAGTTGTCAGAGTGTTGTACATTTCAGCGACATTTCAGTAACCCAGACCTAAGGTTGTTCTGATATTATATACAAACGGCGTCAGTCACGCAAGCAACTGTCATGATGGAAGTCGGAACAAGATAGAGTAAGGTTTCACAGTCAGTAACTTGCAGACTACAATCACGACATCGAGGAACAAGTAACACTTATGACACACGTCAATCTGGTCAATCAGGGGCGACAACTGGCGCACCAGACCATTTTAGCAGAATGACTGCGTTACGAAACCAATTGGAGAGGAGCTCCACGGAGCAACAGGAGTTAGATTGAGCGTACAAACGATTCCGCTTCAGAGCTGGAAACTGCATGCCCGATGCCCAGGATTGGCAGACGTTCACCATGCCGCAAGGCGTCGTTGGGGTCAAGAGCGCCAGCGCTGAACCACTAGTCGTTGTTCAAACGTTAAGTTTTCGGGAGAATCAAGGTTTAATGTGGACTTCCTTTACAGAAGCAACATAGTGTGGCAAAGAGAGGGTTCTTATGGAACATTAGAGGGTTTTATGCCCGTTAACATTAGACAGAACGAGAGGTTTTATGTCATTAACATTAGAGAGAACGGGCGTTTTATGCCATTAACATTAGAGAACAGGCGTTTTTATGCCATTAACATTTAAGAGAAAGGGCGTTTTATGCCATTAACATTAGAGAGAAACGGGCGTTTTATGCCGTTAACATTTAAAGAGAACGGGCGTTTTTATTCCGTTAACATTAGAGAGTGAACATCAGAGAGAACGGGCGTTTTATGCCATTAACATTAAAGAGAACGGGCGTTTTATGACGTTAACATTAGAGAGAACGGGCGTTTTATGTCATTAACATTAGAGAGAACGGGCGTTTTTATGACGTTAACATTAGAGAGAACGGGCGTTTTATGCCGTTAACATTAGAGAGAAAGGGCGTTTTATTCCAATAACATTAATTAACATCAGAGAGAACGGGCGTTTTATGCCGTTAACATTAAAGAGAACGGGCATTTTATGCATTAGAGAGAAAGGGCGTTTTTTATGTCATTAAGAGAAAACGGGCGTTTTATGCCATTAACATTAAAGAGAACGGGCGTGTTTTTTTTATGCTCATTAACATTGAGAAAACAGCGTTTTGTGGGTGCTCGTCATTCATGTTGCTGGGTGTGATTAGCACCTTTGGTAGTCTTTGTGTTTATGCTCGATACATTTCCGTATATGACTTCAAAATGAGACCATACTTTGTGTTCGTCGTGCATTTGGGACATAACACCGGCGAGAACGTTTCAGGTCCATTTCCTACACGTGACACAAACATGTGATCGGATTGGATGCTGCGTGCATTAATGTTTTTTCAGTATTGTTGCTCGAGATGTTATGTAGATATCGCGTAAGCCTACATGCCTGACTGTGCTCTCACCTATTGTTTTCAGTTAAAGTCGTGGTAAATAGGGAGGCAAAGGGGTCATTAACCGTTATCTGTTTGAGAAGACAGGCAGGCAAATGGATAGGTAGGTAAGTGGGTAGATTGGTAGGGAGGTTTCCAGGAATTGTAGTAATTTTGGCCATGTTGTGATCGTACAGTTTGTCTAAAGAAGAAAATAGTTATAAGAAAACAAAACTGCCTACACTTTAGCAAGTATTAAGGATACCGGCATTTCTAAACCGGCTATAAAGTTTTGAAAGGTTTAAAATAAGATAAATATGAATAATTGTTAATAGTATAATACACATTTAAGTATTTCTTTTGTATCAAATGGACAGAGGAAAGGAACGCCAGGATATTATTTGGTCGTGTCATCAGAACAGTGATATTTTCAAATGAAAACGCAGTTTGTAATGTACCACCATGACAACCATCACTTTGGTATTACTGTAGCTCTCTCTTTGGTATTATTCTCGTAATCACTTTGGTATTACTGAAGTTATCAATTTGGTATTATTCTCGTAATCACTTTGGTATTACTGAAGTTATCAATTTGGTATTATTCTCGTAATCACTTTGGTATTACTGAAGTTATCAATTTGGTATTATTCTCGTAATCACTTTGGTATTACTGAAGTTATCGTTTTGGTATTATTCTCGTAATCACTTTGGCATTCCTGAAGTTATCAGTTTGGTATTACTGCAGTTATCACTTTGGTACTATTGTAGGTATCACTTTGGTATTACTGTAGCTCTCTCTTTGGTGTTATTCTCGTAATCACTTTGGTATTACTGAAGTTATCACTTTGGTATTATTCTCGAAATCACTTTGGTATTACTGAAGATATCAATTTGGTATTATTCTCGTAATCACTTTGGTATTACTGTAGTTGTCACTTTGATATTGCTTGATGTATCACTTTGGTATTACTGTAGGTATCACCTTGGCATTATTGTAGGTATCACTTTGGTTTTATTGTAGGTATCACTTTGGTTTTACTGTAGGTATAACTTTGGTATTACTGTAGCTCCCTCTTTGGTATTATTCTCGTAATCACTTTGGTATTACTGAAGTTATCACTTTGGTATTATTCTCGTAATCACTTTGGTATTACTGAAGATATCAATTTGGTATTATTCTCGTAATCACTTTGGTATTACTGTAGTTGTCACTTTGACATTGCTTGATGTATCACTTTGGTATTACTGTAGTTATCACTTTGGTATTATTGTAGGTATCACTTTGGTATTATTGTAGGTATCACTTTGGTATTACTGTAGCTCTCTCTTTGGTATTATTCTCGTAATCACTTTGGTATTGCTGTAGGTATCACTTTGGTATTATTGTAGGTATCACTTTGGTATTATTGTAGGTATCACTTTGGTATTATTGTAGGTATCACTTTGGTATTACTGTAGCTCTCTCTTTGGTATTATTCTCGTAATCACTTTGGTATTGGCGTAGTTATCACTTTGGTATTCCTGTAGTTATCACTTTGGTATTGTTGTAGTTATCACTTTGGTATTATTGTAGGTATCGCTTTGGTATTACTGTAGTTATAGCTTTGGTATTACTGTAGTTATAGCTTTGGTATCGCTGTAGTTATCACTTTGGTATTGCTGTAGATATCGCTTTGGTATTACTATTACTGTTGTTATCACTTTAGTATTCCTGGAAGTATCACAGTAGGTAATACTGTAGACATTAATAGTTGTAATCTCAACAGCATTGTTTATGTGTAGATGCTAAATCAATAGCTGGTTATATATGAGACACTACAAATGAAAATAAATAAGGCAACTAAATGTTTATTACCAGTCAACTACTTTATCTGTATGATTATCATTATGGCAGTTGGTGATTAACAATATAGGCAAGATACTTCTTATCGATATTCTGTTGAAATGTTTCAGGGTGGATCCTCAAACCGATGTCGAGTAAGTATCTTACCTGTATTGACACTGTATCTTTTACAGCTCTAGTATCGAATATTTTGTAAATACTAAAATCATTGCCTTTTTACTTAGTTTTCCATTAATTTCGATGTAGGAATTTAGTAAACGGCCTTTTTTTTATACATACTCCATCCACGTCTGGTTCGCGGGACAAACAACAAGAGACAGCCCCATTGGTCAGTTATTTATAAAGCGTCAAGTCGTGAGGCCATGTTAACACATTGACCTTAATCCTTTGTTTTATTGGTTGACCTCTCTAACCTTTGGCCCAAGGTTGTGGTACGTGACACTGGCGGTCACAGGATTCCGTGACTTCAATATGTCACTGACGTTCAGATACGCAAGAGTTTTTTTCCATGTGGAGTAACGTTTATTCGAAACAAACGATTCAAATAACTTAATTTAGATTATAAATAACCTTTGATTATTAGATAACACACGACAACCGAATGCACATTGTTAAGGAGTGGTTGAAGAAGTTACAGTGAATCTTCATTTCCAGGGCCTAGATTTTCAAAGCTCTCTTAGCCTTAAGATAGTCGTAAGTGCCATACATTAACATAGACTTACGACTATCTTAGCGCTATATAAAAAAAGAGAGCTTCGAAAATCAAGGCCCTGCTATGCATCTTTTATGGTTCCTTACTATTCGCCACTTACATCGGCACTACTGACTCATATCGGCACTACTAACTAACATCGATGCTATTGACTTACATCGGCACTAATGTTTCATATCGGCACTACTAACTAACATCGATGCTATTGACTTACATCGACACAACTGACTAACATCCTATTTTCCTGTTGTCAAAGTTTTCTAGCACAAGGCCTTAGAGTCCCTTGGCTCTATTGTCTTTTATTGTAACAGGGGAAACAGAAAATAAAAATTGTCAATTATAAAAAAAATATTCCGGCTAGAACTATGCATGAAGACTACCTGTAATATTCTAGTCCACACCAGACAGATCAGCAATTGTTTAATACTCAGCGTCCTTCTCCAAATCTAGTACAGAGTCTTGCAGGGCACGTAAGTATCACAACATTATTGTATGCGTCTTCATGTTGACATCGACTTGATAATCAGTCATGCGATCTGAGACCTTGACTTTTAACATCACACATATATAGACCCCAATCGTAACATGTGAGCAATATCGCTGTGCACTGACATACGTCTGCTGCGTAATGACCATGTAATATCACATGTCTATAGAGATAAAGCTGCTCCCCAACACAACAGCCTCAGTCATGGAGCCTGTACAACTTGTTACGACTGTTGTCCTTATTCTGGTATTCCTTAATGGAAGTCAAGCAGCCAGCCCACACATCGTGTTCATAGTTGCAGACGATCTGGGCTGGAATGATATTGGTTTCCGTAATCCACAGGTTTTGACGCCTCACCTGGACAAGTTAGCCAAAGCTGGTGTCATCCTCAACTCCTCCTATGTCCAGCCCGTATGTTCACCATCCAGAAACTGCTTCATGACTGGGTACTTCCCATATCACACTGGACTACAGGACGGCGTCATCAGGCCAACATCTCCTGGCTTTGTTCCCATCAAGTTCACCTTCCTCCCTCAGAAGTTAAAGGAACTGGGATACAGCACCCATGCTGTAGGGAAATGGCATGTGGGCTTCTGTAACATAAAATATACTCCGACCTATCGTGGCTTTGATACCTTTGTTGGGTATTACACTGGCGCTGAAGAATATTATAACCACACAAGAGGATATGACAAATTCTCTGGCTACGATCTACGCTTCAATACATCTGTATATACGGAAGCCAAGGGTAAATATTCAACTCATGTGTTTGCAGAACGGGCAGTTGATATCATTAAATCTCACGATAAGAACACGCCGTTATATTTGTATCTGCCGTTTCAAGCTGTACACGCACCACTCGAAGTTCCTCCTGAGTATGAGAAGTTGAACGACCATATCCACAACTTAACACGAAGGACCTACTGCGGTATGATCAGTGCCCTTGATGAAGCTGTTGCCAACATCACCAATGCCTTAGAGGAAACGGGACTCATTGACAACTTGCTGTTGGTATTCACGACTGACAATGGCGGACCTTTTCATGGTGCTGCAAATAATCTTCCGCTACGTGGAACTAAGGCTACACTATGGGAAGGTGGGACGAAAGGAACTGGATTCATCTACAGTAAAACCCTTCTAAAGAAGACGGGCTACCTCAACACTGGAATGATGCATGCTGTGGACTGGTACCCGACATTGGTGGAGTTGGCTGGTGGAAAGAACACAGATCCCAACATGGACGGAGTCAGTCAGTACGACATGCTCATCATTGGTGGACCAAGTAAGAGGAATGAGTTCGTCTACAACATCTACGACAAGACCAACTCCTCAGCAATTAGATATGGTGACCTCAAACTGATGCGAGGGTCACCGGGAGCTCACAGTGGATGGGTTCCTCTTCCAACGTCTGGTGAGAGTTCAGATACCCAGGACTCCCAATTTCAGTTCCCTCCGTATATGTTGTACAATATCACCTCCGACCCAACTGAACATTTCGACCTGTCTGCTAAGTACCCCGAGCTTGTAACGATGATGAAACAACGCCTTGAGAACTGGGAGAAGACACGAGTACCAGCTTATCAACCACCGAATGATCCTAAATCTAATCCAGATCTCTATGGAGGCAACTGGAGCCCAGGCTGGTGCTGATTTTTGTGAATATTTTGTGTTGGCCACCAGAAAAGTTACAGCTAATTTAATTGACAATCAGCTATAAAATAAGTGACTGAAACTTGTCATTTTAAATTCATTGGTTGTTATGTTACAATTACCCGTTCCTGTTCGATTGTTTGATTGATAAGCCGCAGTTTAAATGAAGACATGTCTGCTTTTTCGATTAAAAAAACTCTAAAGGTGGTACAACCACAAATAAACGACGTTCGTGTCCAATATGGTCACATGTTATCTATGATACTATCTGTATCTATACCTGGATGTAAACGATGACAGCAGAAAACCTACATGTTAACCTTGAGATGTTGATAGATAATGTAAGTATGCTTGTCTTTAGACCTTGACCTAGTTGCTTGTTGGACTGGTAGCCTTGTGGTTAAGCGCGTATTTTTACATTTTTAAAATTGGTCGTATTCCATTTGTGGGTAACATTTTGGAGAACCAAGTTGAGTTATTGTATATAGATTTAGAGGATGATTTGTACACCAATAATACGTTTTGAATTTCGTGCAGAAACACCAATTTTGCGCAAGCGTTTTTCATGATATGTGCACGTGAACGTGGTCGGGGTAAATATCGAAATTTTAAGTGAAAGTTGTCAGAGTGTTGTACATTTCAGTGACATTTCAGTAACCCAGACCTAAGGTTGTTCTGATATTATATACAAACGGCGTCAGTCACGTGCAACTGTCATGATGGAAGTCGGAACAAGATAGAGTAAGGTTTCACAGTCAGTAACTTGCAGACTACAATCACGACATCGAGGAACAGGTAACACTTATGACACACGTCAATCTGGTCAATCAGGGGCGACAACTGGCGCACCAGACCATTTAAGCAGAATGACTGCGTTACGAAACCAATTGGAGAGGAGCTCCACGGAGCAACAGGAGTTAGATAGAGCGTACAAACGATTTCGCTTCAGAGCTGGAAACTGCATGCCCGATGTCCAGGACTGACAGACGTTCACCATGCCGCAAGGCGTCGTTGGGGTCAAGAGCGGCAGCGTTGAACCACTAGTCGTTGTTCAAACGTTAAGTTTTCGGGAGAATCAAGGTTTAATGTGGACTTCCTTTACAGAAGCAACATAGTGTGGCAAAGACGGAACGAGAGGTTTTATGTCATTAACATCAGAGAGAACGGGCGTTTTTATGCCATTAACATTAGAGAGAATGGGCGTTGTTATGCCATTAACATTAGAGAGAAAGGGCGTTTTTATGCCGTTAACATTAGAGAGAACGGGCGTTTTTATGCCGTTAACATTAAAGAGAACGGGCATTTTTATGCCGTTAACATTAGAGAGAAAGGGCGTTTTTATGTCATTAACATTAGAGAAAACGGGCGTTTTTATGCCATTAACATTAAAGAGAACGGGCGTTTTTATGCCATTAACATTAAAGAGAACGGGCGTTTTTATGCCGTTAACATTAGAGAAAACAGCGTTTTGTGGGTGGCTCATGCATGTTGCTGGGTGTGACTAGCGGAACAACTTTAAACCTTGGTAGTCTTGTGTTTATGCTCGTACATCTCGTATATACTTCGAATGAGACCATATACTTTGTGTTCCTTTGTGACATAACACCGGCGACAACGTTTCAGATCCCATTTCCACAACACGTGACACCAAACATGCCATTCTACTCACCTCAACCCTGTAGATCTCGTCGTGCATTATGGGAATATACTAGTTCACGTGACTAGCACACAACACAAATCTTTTCTCCAAAGCAATTGTCGCACTGCATGCAGTGTGATCGGATTGGATGCTGCGTGCATTAAGTTTTTTTCAATATTGTTGCTCGAGATGTTATGTAGATATCGCGTAAGCCTACATGCCTCACTGTGCTCTCACCCATTGTTTTCAGTTAAAGTCGTGGTAAATAGGGAGGCAAAAGGGTCATTAACCTTTATCTGTTTAAGAAGACAGGCAGGCAAATGGACAGGTAGATTGGTAGGGGGGGAGGTAGGTAGGTTTGCAGGAATTTTAGTAATTTTGGCCATGTTGGGATCGTACAGTTTGTCTAAAGAAGAAAATAGTAATAAGAAAACAAAACTGCTAAAACTTTAGCAAGTATTAAGGATACCGGCATTGCTAAATCGGCTATAAAGTTTTGAAAGGTTTAAAATAAGATAAATATGAATAATTGTTAATAGTATAATACACATTTCAGTATTTCTTTTGTATCAAATGGACAGAGGAAAGGAACGCCAGGATATTATTTGGTCGTGTCGTCAGAACAGTGATATTTTCAAATGAAAACGCAGTTTGTAATGTACCACCATGACCCACACCTACTTCCGTCAACACGTGGGGTAACAATATACTGCCCCCCTGTAATCAAGCATTATTCCACCTACGCAATCACAGGTAAAACCGTCCACACCTGTACATACATTTTTGATGGTGTGATTATCTTCAGATTGGGTGTATAATCACGTAGGCAGTATAGAAAGTTATCACGTTCACGGTAACAGGTAAATGTCATGTAATTACATAGCGTCCGAGGGCATGTATTGTTGAGCATGCTGACGTGTACGTTGCATGTATGTTTCATTCATTCGGAACATGACGTGACATATTGTGTTGTATATAACTAAACAATTTCATTCAGTCAAGGGCGGCTTCGTCACGGGACAACCCCAGGGGATGAGTGGGATGACAAATCTGGAGATGACTAGGATGTAATCACATCATATGACTATCTTTGTGAGTGAGTGAGTGAGTGAGTGAGGAACATGGGTTGAATATATTTTGCTCTGTAGTCTAGGAACAGATAGGCTCGTCATCTTTCCCAGGCAAGCCTATATTGTTAAAACGTCACGCCAAGGACCCGTGTTCTATGTCCACCCACATCTCTGCCGTGATGTAGGTAGGAGGCTGCTAAATGTGGTGTAAAAAACATACTCACTCACTTCCACGTGTCCTTTAGTCCTTATCAAAGATTCGTTTGTTTGGTTTTTTTGTTTGTTTGTTTGGTTTTGGTTTTGGGTTGTTGCTTTTTTGTTGATGTTGGTATTGGTAGTGCTGTAAATATTATATCATTATGCAGCATCAAGGGAAGTAATCTGACCTGAATCAGGGTCTAGATTCCCAGTGCTATTATATTTTGCAAAATACATTTAGGTCAAAAGCGATGGAATGGCAAGCATCTAGCTAGCAAACCTATTCTGCTAGCAACTAGGATGTTATGCAGCTTATAAATCAACAATGTTTACACATCTTTACAATTTTTCCCCGCAGTATAATCACCATGCACACTCAGGCGCTATTGCAGTTTTTGCATTCGGAACTGCCCGTTTATGCTGGTTATCGGGATGCAGGAACCAAATCTTCACAGGTTGGCTGATAACAGTGGGAAAGGTTTGATTAAAACTGCTATTATTACGACTGGTGCAGTCCGGAGAGCTGCGAAAAGCAAAATTCATTCGCTTTCAACACCACTCTCTGTTACATGCTGTTGCTATGAAAGTTCATTGTCCCGCTAGATGCCTTCCCTGTCAAAACATTTTACGTTGTAACCCGGTACACGTGCACTTCCCTGACACTGGCTTTTTGTTAATTACATTCGGTTCTCTACTTATTATCCTTCTAAATTAACAAATAACCCAAGGAGGTACATGCTTTCTTTAATATCCTCTTTTACATTTGCCAGCGGTTGAAAAGCATGCCACAATTATTCCCTTTCGCCTAATTGGAGCTTTGTAGATGCTCCGTCAGCCGTCTTATGCGCGTTCAAAAATGTAGGATTGTCTGCCCTTGAGGAAAGGTCACGTCTGAAAGATACGTATTCATCCTTCGAATGCACCTGTTAACACTCTCTGCCGTGTGTACCAGGCACGTGTCTACTCCTTAAACACGTATTGTGCCTGATCAGCAGTTTTACATATCGGAATGTGACAATAATGCCTGTGTCAGAAAAACATCGACCAAATAATTACCTGTATGGTTAAAATTCTTTTCAGTTGAAATGTCGACAATGCGCAGTGTTCTAACTGAACCGAACGTCACTAATAAGAGGTAACATTTATTCGAGGCATGTTTCTTCTGACGATGGCACTGGCCCGTCTCCATTGTCCGTTGCACAATACACTGAACATTCTTATCATGTACGTAAACTTTGTTGTGCTCTGTACCCGCACATTTCAACGCAGAAGTGCATACCTTTACCTATGTGAGAAATAGTAGGATAGGTCGAGGTGGTTTCAACTCAAATGGACTTGGCCAAATCTCCTTGATGTGCGACCGCCTCCGTGGTGTAGTGGTTAGAGCGTCCGCCCGGAGAGCGGAAGGTTGCGGGTTCGATCCTCGACAGCGTAATACCAAAATACTTTAAAATACTAAGTATGGTACTTGTTGGTCCCTGCCTGGCGCTCGGCATTAATGGTTACATCAAGGACTGGTCGACTCGGAGTCAGTATAATGTGTCTGAGTGGGGTATTCATGCTTCACTGCGGCATGGTATCTCAGTGGGCTAGCACCATAAAACCAGCTTCAGTCTGGGCTAGTACAAGCAGCCGCACATACACATACACATACACACGCATGCACGTCGTCATATGAGCGAAATATTCTCAAGCACGACGTTAAACCCAATTTCACCTCACCTCACCTCACCTTCGATGTGCGGCCGACTTCCGTACAGCGACCTATTTCACAGATAACAGACCACAAGTAGCCGAACCACTGCCTCCAAGACTTTCTAACACACACACTCACTGACACCGGCATATAAGAGTGTGTATATATATTTGTGAAGCTTTCTTCATCGGCAGCACGTTATAGATCAACATCAGGGATCCAATGTGAACGAGAGTCGCTTAACCATGAAGGTTCTGGAATAATTAACACTCGCTGCGATAATGTTCCAATATTTCTAAAAGCGGCATAAAACTAAATGCACTCACTTACCTCAAGTTGACCAGACAATTTATAAACACAAAATCGGGGATCGAATGGCTAAACGCGCGTAGACTGTGATACGTCCGAAAGCTCAAGGCAACAGGAAAGGCCGCAATGGGGTTGTGACCAGGCCCCAGTTCCACAAAATGATCTTAGGGGGAGGTGGGGTAAACTAGTGGTTAAAGCGTTCGCTCGTCACGCCGAAGACCCGTCTTCAATTGCCCACATGGGCACAATGTGTGAAGCCCATTTCACGTGTCCCCCGCCATGTTATTACTGGAATATTGCTAAAAGCGGCGTAAAACGAAAGTCACTC